GGCTTACCCTCAAAACTCCACCACCCCCGCCACCACCACCGCCCCGTGGGGGAGGAGAAAAATTGCTGGCCGGGCCGTAATATGACATGCCGCACAGTGAGTCTAGTAAACCTGTATGTATGCATGTAGAACGGACATGAACGTGAAAAAACGAGGGAAAACGGATAACGTGACGATCCGCTTGACAAGGGAAGGAAGAACACCGGTATGGCCGGAGACATACGTAAGCATACTCCTCCGTCTTTACTTCCGACACATGTCCAGCTATCGCGTTTATGGGCACATCTATAGAGCTGTGTAATTTCTAGCTGATAAAATGTAGGTAGAGTAAACATCATGCTGTAGTGAAGGTGGCGTGGGACCAAGTTATCCAAGGTTTACAGGTATAACGCGGCCTCTCGATTAACCTCCTCTGCCGTGCTTGCTTGTCACTTCTGCTTTTGAAAAGGAAACAGAAAAGACTTCGATGCTCCCCGTGTGTAGTCTTCGCCTGTCATACTCTCAAAAATTCCTTTTTTTCGTTGTCGTTCCACCATTTGTGCCTTCAGTCACAGGCATAAGGCGGTTGACGGCGCCCTGCTACATGCAGCATATCATCCTCGTACTTTTTTTCTGTTTTGTCAGCTTCGGGCATCCGTTCAGTCACAATCTTATTTCAACAGGTCACTCAGATCTATCTGACATGACTGCTGGGATGCCTCATCCCAAAGGCGCGGTTGTCGCCGGGACCTGGCTATTTGGAAGGCTAGCGGTCGAGAAGGCAGCTGAAGTGCTCTTGTCTTCCTCCACCTCCCCTACAGCACCTCCTTCTATTGATCATCCTTCCGAGACTAATCTTGCCACGTCTATAGCCCTGGATGCCGTTGAAGCCGGTATAAATGTCGTGGAGTTGGATAATCAAGGTAAGAAATCAGGATCATTACCGTAGTACGAGCACGCATCGATACAATTTACTCCAAGCTTTGACATTCCTGGATGCTCATAGATCAGTACTACGTGGGATACGGTGGTTTCCCGAACGCGGAAGGAGAAATGGAATTGGATGCCGCCATCATGTGTGGGAGTCGCAAGACCTACGGCGGAGTTGCCGCGCTTCAGGTACGAGTGATGCAATCAAAAATGTTGGAGCCAGATGGCACCACTGCACCGAAGAGAAGAGATACATTGTGTAAGGAGCGCTCATACGATGTGTGTTTAGATGAACCACATACAGGAAAAGTTTGAGAAGTCCGAGAAACATGAGATAGATCTTTCATCGTCGTGTTGGGACTGTATAGGAGCGAAATACCCAAGGAGGAGGCGGCACGAGAAGCCAGACACTGAATTTATGGATACGTATTCCTCGCTCCAGGGGGTCCCCACCAAGTGTTTGGACAGCCCTGGAGATACGGCGTTGTTATGTTCCACGAACGGATCTCACGCTCACCCCTCTCACGTCGTGAGGAGTAAGGAGTAGGGCATTAATGCTCCCACGCCCGACAAAGGGGTCGGATATACCACCTCTCACGTCACCATTCTCACGCGTGCACTTGCCACACGCACAGGGAGTAAGCCGAGCAATATCCGTGGCCCGGCGTGTGATGGAGGAGAGCGTTCACAGTTTGTTGGTCGGGCGGGGCGCGAGTACATTCGCCAGGAGCCAGGGCTTTGAGTGGGACGAGGTTTTGTCCCCCGCCGCCAGAGAAGAGTGGCTTATCTGGAAAGGAAACGAAGGAAAGGAGGGCCCACAGGTGGACGGCCGCAAGGAGGAAAGCGCCGGGGTCCCGGCTCCCCCAAGAGAGGGGGACGCAGTGGCTCCACACGACACCGTCGGTCTTCTTGTCCTCGATGCACATGGAAACTTGGCCGCGGGCACTTCCACGTCTGGGTGGTGCTTTAAGCATCCAGGTACCTTCGCAAAGCCCTCTTTTCCCTCGCTCCTCTTTTCCTGCTTTTCTATCTTGGTCCCTCTCTCCCTCCTTCCCTCCTCCCCCCCTTCCCATCCTCCCTCCCTTCCTTCCTCCTTCCTTCCTTTCCTCCTTCTTCCCTCCCTGCCACCCCTTAGGGCGTGTGGGCGACTCGCCCATCGTTGGCAGTGGGCTGTATGCCGACAGTGCCGTAGGGGGCGCCGTCGCAACAGGTGACGGCGAAGAGATTATGCGCGTCTGCCTCTCTTTCTTGGTGGTGGAAAAGATGAGGGAAGGTCTGGGCCCGGCCTTGGCCTGTCAAGCGGGCATCCAACGCTTGAAGGTCCTGATCAGGGAGGGAGGGGGGGAGGGCGAGAGACAGGGCATGCACGAAAGCCTGACGGTGGCCGTCATGGCCCTGGACAAAGAGGGGAGGGTGGGCGCTGCGTCCACCTTGGGGGAGCACAACCGGCACCGGGGGCGTCCAGGTTTCCCTTTTGTTGTGTGGAAAGAGGGGCTTGGAAAGGCCTGGGTGGAGGAAGCGGACGACACGGGAACGGCGTGAGGCCAATTACGTAATGTGGAGGTGGGAGAGGGGGGGCTGTGGTGGAAGCTGACTTTGTTCTGAGCGTACGAGATCACTGCGTGCGTGGAACTATTGAGCCCACTGAAAGAAAGATGTGTCGGATAAAAAATAATGGTTTGCGTCGTGGCCTGGATAGAGGCATCTTTGAAAGCCTCGCATAGCTGTGGTCTATGTACAGATTACTTCAACACGAAATTTACTCTCCTTACCCTGTCCTCCATTTTGTGCATCCCGTTCACTCCTGATCCTTCTTCATTTTTTTGGGGGCGTCGTATTCCCCTCTATCCTCCCTACCCCACGAACACCCACGGCGCTGTCGCTTTGACATCTAGGGGTTTAACCAACCCCCCCGGCAAATCTTTCTCCTCAATCAACCAGCAGTCCTCCGCGTCTGCCCCGTACCCAACTCCTCCTCCCAAGGAAGGAATGTTTCGCTGGCTGTAGGACGCGTTTTCAACCACCTGAAGCAAACTTTCCCTCGTCAATCCTCGCAAGACAGTTGCGTCACTACGGTTGTCCCGGTACCACTCCCGTGTTTCGGGATCGCGCAGACACAGGAGGCAGGCCTCTTTAGGCCCATCTACAACAGCGAGGGCGAGGAACGTGGAGCTATGCGAGAGAGAGAATGGGAGGACGAGGACGATGACATCCCCCACTGTACAAGAATCGGTCAACGGCCCTGGGCTGCCCAATCCTTCGCCTAAATCCGTGCATGGACAAGGTGATTCGTCCCAAGTGGCGCCTTTTCCATCCTCACTGCAATTGTCATGGTAGCTCTTGCATATCATGTATATGGTCTTACATTGCAGAGTCACTTTACCGCAGGGGGAGCTCGTGGAGGCAGTACAGGGGCCCAGGAAACTGCTCCGAAAAAGGAAGCAGTCCGCGGATAATAGGAGGGAAAACAGCAGAATGAAGACCAGAGATGCCGCGAGCTGCGACTCTGCTCGTCGGAAGAATCGTGACGTGGACATTACTGTTGCCTGTGACGATTGTCAGGAACAGTTGAAAGAATCTTGTTGAAGGATAAAATTGACCATCCGGCACGCAAGTGAACCTCCTCCCTCTGCTACTAGCAGTACTTACCCCTCAAGAACCTGTCTTTGCTCTACTTTTCCTTTCCGGGAGAAAGAGAGCGAGCCCATGATGTAGGCCTGCATCCAGTGTCTAACAAACAAAAGATAGAAAGATTGCAAACGCTAGTGTCAGCACTACCGTCCACACGTTCAGTCTTTTGTGGTCTCACCCGAAAGGAATCGATGCCCTCCGCAAAAGCGATAAATGCTTGTAAAGCTGATGCATCTGCCGTACACAACGGTAGCCGATACAAAGATCATAAGAAGAAGTAAGAAAATACGAGTGTTTCAAGCCGTAGACTCGGCATTTTGGTTGGCAAGACGCTGCTTGCGAAAGCACTGACGACTGAGCTCGACCTGAAGCCCGCTAAAAGTTAGCACAAGTGAACAGTAGACCGAATGAATACCTTCCTGGTGGCCACACTATGGGATAATCCACCATGGTCAACCATCTACACGAAAGGATATGAAGACCCATACGGTGCCCAGACTTCAGGGCCCGCCCTCGTCGCACAGCACGGAAGAGGTATCACTCCCAATTATTTTACTTTCATGATATGTCTTGCGTTTACTGGTTCATTTCAAGAAGGTCTTTCCCCTCCTGATTCAACTCCATGGCCTCCACATTTTCCGCTCCTCCCCTCCATTTCCCATCCAACCATACCTCCTTCTCACCCTATCCGCGGGTGCCTTTAACCCCAACCCAATACCTGGAGTCCCCCGTGGTTCGATTACACAACGTCAATTCCAAGGGTGGCAATGGACCGTCCGGCTCGTCGGCCCCGGCGTCCATGCGCCCATCCGCGACCAGGCGGGCGTACCGTTGCAAGGCCGGTGCCTCCGTTTCCTCCAAGACCAGCGACCGCATGGGGTTCAAGTCGGGGCCCCATGCAACGCACGCGTCGAACGACTCCAGCATCTCCAGGGTCTTCCTCCCTTCCTCCGCGTCGTACATGGTAAGCAGAAATGGGATCCCGGACGCGACCAGGTAAGTAAGGGTGGGTAGCCACATGGAGCCGTCCACGTGGTGATGATCGTCGCCTGAGGCCGGGAGGGGTAACGACGGAGGGGAAAACGCGTAAGCTTGCATGTCTTTGCACGGAAAAAAAGGAAAGGGCACTGTGCATGGGACTTATGATATCGAGCACAGGAGGCATTGCCGTGGGAGGGGGTTGACTCAACGACAGCCGCCACCATTCGCTGTGCTTCTTCTGCCGCTTCCCTTCCACCTTCCTGCCCCCCCCACCTCTCCATATCTCCCCACCAGTATGCAGTCCGCTGTTCAACGCAACCACCAGGTCCGGTGGCGCCTCTTTGCTTCCCTCGTGAGATAGGACCCAGTCGTGGTAAAGGAGGTTGCTCTTCCACACCGTGATGTCCCTGGCTGTCTCCTTGCCCTCCGCCAAGGATACCCGGAACGCCGTCGGGGTCATGACCTGGGGCCCAAAGACCGACACTTCCAAGCCTTTGGGGGTGGAGGAGGGGGGAAGGGAGGGAAGGAAGGAGGGGGACACCACGGTAAGACGAGACGAGGCATGTCGATAATTGATGCGGCCAGCCCCAGAGGGCAAAGGAGGAGGCTTACCCTCAAAATAGAAGGGACAGAGCAAGGCCCCAAGCTCCCCCATCGACAGGGGCAAGCGTTGGATCTCCTGCGTCTCCGTCGCCCCCAGGATGTGCAAGCGAAAAGGCCGTCGATGGCGTCCGTGGTCCCCACCATGACCCTCTCTACCTCCCCTCCCACCCAAAAGCCCGAACCTTTTCGCCGCCATGGCCACCGTCAACCCTTCGTGCAACAGCTCGCTCAGGCACATACCGCTGTTGCTGTTGGCACTGACCTGGTGACCGAGTTGCCGCGCCGCGAAAAACTCCGACCAGCCCTCAGGAATCTGGCCCTCTGGCCACTGTATCTTCGTATGTCCCTCCAAACCCATCAGATAGGTTCGGATCCAATCCTCTTTCATTTCCGCACGCTTCATTTGATTTTCGCGACAGATTCGGGCGATTTTTAGAGAAGTGCACGCCTTCTTATGCTCGCCCGAATGGAAATTTGCGAGCTGGCAGTCCCGACTACAATACCTGAGGAGGTGGTCATTAAGACACGATGAGAGGACGGGATTTTAAAGCGTAATTCTCTTCCATCCATCACAATGACCTTATTAAAGACATATATGCCTGCAAAAATTGGACGAGGGACCCCAACAGGAACCAGAAACAAATGGAAGTCGGAGAGACAAGAAAGGAGGAAAAGCCGCCGCAGATGTTAAAATGCATTTTTCCTGTGCTTACTCCAAATGTAAGCCTTCACATTTCTCCCCCGTATTCCTGCCCATTGGCAAAGAAATGACGGCATGCCATCGAGATTTGCAAGAGCGAATGATGAACTATGTGACCACAAAAGGAATTATTCATCATAGCTCCGCTCTGGCACTCACCATATGTTAGCGCATTTCCCACACACCTTCAACTTGTCTACGCCTTTGTCCCCCTCTCGTCTCCCACATTCTGCACAAATCCGCCGCATTGCTTCTCGCTTCTGGATTGTCTCGTCGAAAAGCAGCTGTAAGCGTTCACCGCGTTGCCGGAGAGGAGCTTTGAGCAGGGCGTGCAATTCGTGCGCTTTTACAAGGCCTACGGTCAGGAAAGGGGAAAAATATTGCCATGCCTGCTCGTCTGTTATCACTGTTGAGTTTTCGCTGTCCTGTGTGGTATTCACATGGGTGGCCATGCGTAGTAGGCGGAGTGGGAAATGTAGGCAAAATATGCGTCTTCAGCTTGCTTGTTGGTCCGGCTGAAAGGGAGGCAAATAACAAAGCAGAGACAGTGAGTCCTGGAATAAGTAGCACCATACGAGTGTCATTATTTTACTGTCGTCTACAAGCTTTATCTGACATGTTAAGCTTTATCTGACATGTTTCCTTGAAAAAAAGGGGTTGCTTAGACAAACTCCTCTGCAACCTCCTGTGCATGCAGTTACGGTTTAGCTTCAACATTATCGAATTACTCCAAAAATAGTTCCGGGGTTTTCCATGTCTCGTGCATTCACTTCATACAGAGAACATTGTAGCGGCATGAAATTGTATGATGATATTTATAAGGAAATGATCGCGCGCACGAGTCTTGTCCCCAGGATATTTGCTATTTCGAATTCTCGTCAGGGTTGGGTTTGATGGTTTTCCGAGTCTGCAATGTCGAACTTTTGTGTAAACATAATTAAACTATCTCCCTGGAGCCTTAACGTAATCTTCATGTCTTGCTTCTGTTAAATTTTATTTTCTTCACGTCATGTATTGTTTCGGTAGAGAAATTGGCCGTCAACAATATTGATCATGCTTCTTGTTGTCTTTATGAAATAACTGCGCCAAAATGCTGCCTCATACACTCCGTAGCTTTGTCCCGAGAAGTGTGAAGAGAGCCGGGGTAGGGAAAGAAAAGAAGACGAAAAGAAGTCGTACGGAGCATTGTTGATACTCATTGTTTTTCCGACCTAAAGTGGAAGAAAATGTCGCAGGACACGTATGTTTTTAAAATGCCAATTTATAATCGAGTCTGGCCAACTGTTTGCCTGTATTGCTTTACATTGTCACTACCTAAGTCTACTTTACAGGTCCGAGTCCCGTCCAAATTAATCCTATCTAATTGAACTCTTCCTCCTCCCTCCCATGTTCAGGTCTTCCTGCCTTCATCCTGTCTTCCTCCTTCTCACCGCAAACTTCCTCCCCCGACCTCCCCCTGCTTCCCCCCCAGCCCCTATACCTCCCTCCTGAGCGCGGTTGTGCACAGAAACCCAATCCCCTTGAAGGGCTTGTTTTGCTGGCAGCTCTGCTCGTCTTCTCAGATTTGGCACGTATCGCCGCATCCAGTGTCCGTTCGACCGCGGCAAAATCGACACAGAGCCATTCCTTCTCGGACCTGTCCGAGGGCAGGTGCAAGCAGTCCCCTTGGTGTTCTTCTCTCTCTTTCTTGGAGGCGGAGGGGCCTGAAGAAGAAGAAGAAGAAGAAAAAGAAGAAGAAGAAGAAAAAGAAGAAGAAGAAAAAGAAGAAGAAGAAGAAGAAGAAGAAAAAGAAGAAGAAGAAGAAAAAGAAGAAGAAGAAGAAAAAGAAGAAGAAGAAGAAAAAGAAGAAGAAGAAGAAGAAGAAGAAGAGGAGGAGGAGGAGGAGGAGGAGGAAGAGGAGGAGGAAGAGAGGGTCCGTTGAGTCTCCCGGGAGTACCCCATCTCACTGAAGAAGACTTTTTGAGGTATATTGTCCTCGACTGAGTATTCAAAGCGATAGGATTGAACCTGAAGTTAGGGGGGCAAAGACAAGGAGGGGGCGGGGAAGAGGAAGAAAGGGAACATGCCTGAGGGAGGAGGGCATCCAGGTTTGCACGCTTTCATACCCGGAACAGGCACCACAATAGAGAAAACATGTCTCACATACATCACATCAAAAAGCCACCGCAATAAAGAAAACATGTCTTCATAAATCACACTCAAAAATACCGATAGTCAAAAATACAGATACATGCATCCCAGGAAAATGGGAAAAACGAGCAAGGGGGAGGGTGAAAGAGGGAGAGACCTGCGTTGTCTTCCAGCGTAGGAAAGGCCTCGCCTCTAAGAGGTCGAGC